CAGGCTTATGTGTGTTATTAGAAATAATTATTCTGGAATAAGGAAGATAATCATCTCTCTCTAGTATGGACTGGTCAAATCATAAGTAGGACACTATAGCTGCAGAGACTTTAGAAGGAAAGTGGCTAACTAAACAACGAGTTTGTCATATAAGAAATGGCCAGAGAAACTAGGGATTCTTACCCCTAGAGAAGAAAAACAATAGTGTACTTCAAGTGTATACTTCAAGGAGGAAGTATTACCCTTATGTTGTTACACTAAAAATGGATAGGTACTGGTGAGCTGATTTTTAATGTTAGAAAATTTTGCATTGATTAAATGTCTAAAAATGGAATGGGTCTTATATATTCATGCTTATTTAACAAAATATTTCATAAGAAAAATGAATAGTTAAAAAAGATTTTATGGGATAATGCATGAAAAATGCTTAACATATGGCAAGCATGCAAGGAAAAGGAGAAGGAAAGAGGAGAGAGAAAATTGTATGAGAACTTATACTACTTTTTCTATTTGATACACATTACTGAATGCCTATTATATCACAGGCTTTCAAAATCCCTCTCTACACTGAGATTATGACATGACATCAGAAGTAGAAAGAGTACCAATATAGGAATCACAAAGCCAGGGTTTTAATAGAGCCCCCCCCCCATACACCCAATCACCCACCTTTAAAGAAGTCACTTAGAAATGTTTTAACCTTTAAGGCCGGCCCATGGCTCACTCGGTAGAGTGTGGTGCTGATAACACCAAGGCCACAGGTTCGGATCCTATATAGGGATGGCCGGTTTGCTCACTGGCTGAGCGTGGTGCTGACAACACCAAGCCAAGGGTTGAGATCCCCTTACCGGTCATCTTTTAAAAAAAAAGAAATGTTTTAACCTTTAAGGGGAAGTAGCAGAGTGGGTAAGAGGTTAGATAAACAATCTCTTAAGTGCCTTTCAGGATGAAAATTTCGGATAATATGTGAAAAGTAATGCTCTAATCTTTTTTCAAAAATTATTTATAGCTTTATTGAGGTATAATTGATATACCTATAAAACTGCACATATTTAGTATATACCATTTGATGAGTTTGGACATATGTATGCACCTATGATATCACCACAATCAAGACAATAAACATATTTTTCATTTCCAAAAGTTTATGTCCTTTGCTTTTTTTTTTTGGTGGTAAGAACACTTAACCTGAGATTTACCCTCAACAAATTTTTAAGTGCACAAGACTGTATTACCTGTAGGGACTGTGTTGTACAGCAGATATCTAGAACTTATTCATCTTGTACAATTGTAACTTTATCCCCATTAACACGTTCTTACCATCTCCCCCTTCCCCATTCCTTGGCAACCACCATTCTAGGGGGGTACTTCAAAAAGTTCATGGAAAATAGAATTAAAGGATAATATGAACCTTCCCACAAACTTTTTGAAGTATCCTTGCATTTTCTGTTTCTATAAGTTTGATTATTTTAGATACCTCATATAAGTGGAATAATGCAGTATTTGTCCTTCTATGACTGACTTATTTCACTTAACATAATGTTTTTCAGGTACATCCATCTTGTTGCAAATGGTAGGATTTCCTTCTTTTTTAAAGCTGAATAACATTCCACTATATCTATACAACACATTTTCTTTATCCATTTGTCTGTTGGTGGATACTTGGTTGTTTCCATATCTTGGTTATTGTGAATAATGCTGCAATGAACATGGGAGTACAGATATCTCTTCCAGATCCTGGTATCAATTCTTTTGGATATATACCTAGAAGTGGTATACCTGGACCATATATGGTAGTTCTTTTTCTAATTTTGAGGAACCTCCATACTGTTTTCCATAGTGGTTACACCATTTTACAATTTCACCAACAGTGTACAAGCATTCTAATTTCTGTACATCCTCTCCTCACCAACACTTATTGTCTTTTGCTTTTTTGAGAACAGCCATTCTAATAGGTGTGAGGTAATAGCTCATTGTGGTTTTGATTTGTGTTTCTCTTATAATTAGTGATGTCGAACACCTTTTCATATACCTATTGGCCATCTGTATGTCTTCTTTTGATAAATGTCTATTCAAGTCCTTTGCCCATTTTTTAAAATCAGGCATTTCCTTTTTTGCTATTAAGTTGCAGGAGTCTACATACCATCTAATCTTATTCCATATAAAGGGGGTCTTCAAAAGTTCATGAAAAAATTCTTATTATTTTTTAATTCTATTTTCCACAAACTTCTTAAAAGTACCCACCTATTTAACAGTTCATGAGAGTACTCGTATATGTTTGACATTAGATTTTAGTGTTTGTTACATTCATACCCATAAAGCCACACATTGTTTTTTATGCATAGGTTGGCATACTCTTTATCTTGTGATCCCATTTTGTTGGTCTCAGCTGACTGTTGGTGCTGACCTAAAGGGAATCACATATTAGATTGTGCTATATATGACTTCTGGCTACCAAGGAGCCCTATACAAAATATAATCAGATCTTAAGACATTTGAATAAAAGTATTAAATAGATAAGTAAAGCAGAAGGAAGAGAAGTAGAGTTTAGCCAAATCCTCATTTTGTCATGTCTTAAAACAAACAGCGCTAAGGGACTCTTTCTGTACCTGGAAGGTCAGTCCCTAGAACAACTCAGTAGTCTAAAAAACATTCCAGTTTTCCATGAAGCCTGGCTATGTAGTTGCTGGGACTGTTTCCTTTTCGTCCTTACTCCCTGGTGGTACCATCACAATAAACCACCTTAACTAAGATAACCTACCCCTACCTATGTTCATTACTGGGGGAGTGCTATAACATACTCCCAGCTTTTAACCTCTATAATTTGGAATCTTACCAGATGGCTCTTCATCCTGTTTTGAAAGGTATTTTTCAGTCCCTACTGCTACAGAATAACTTTTACCAAAAGGATACCTAAAATAATAATGAGTAATTTTAAAGTTCTTTGAGATAGTTAAATTTTAAATGGAGAAATCACAAAACTATTAAAGTAAGCATTGGGGAAACAAACAGAATATTGTGGAAATTATAATCTCAAGAGATAAGAAGCCAGGGTTCTAATTTTCATTCTAATTCTTGCTCTATGACCTTTGGGAAATCTGGGTCTACCTGATCTGAATCTAAGATCACATCCTTAAAATTTTAAAAATAATATATTATCTGCCTGGAGAATCAGGTGATTTCTTGAGGTATTTTCTACCTCTAGACAAAGATTTTCTCACTAAATAAACAAGACTCCACTCTAACCCCACTCTTCTGTTTCCCCTGAGGCAGCAAGGTGGCAGCACTAAGCACATACCCCAAAACATTTGGAATCAGAAAAAAACCGCAGTTCTGTAACCTAACCACAACCAGGACATGCTCTGATTTCAAAAATTGCTGATCATCAAATCTTTAAAGATAAGTAAAAAGTACAGGAACTAAATGTTATCTCTAATTGAGTGTATTGAAAATCTTTCATCTTTTAAATTTATGTAAAGATTGAGTCGTTTTTATTTATTCATTTATTTTTTAACTTTTATTCTTATTTTTTTCTTAATTGACTCAGGATAATTGTATGTACTTATGTAGTACGTGTATTTGTGTACATATCACAGTATTTAGCATATCCATCACCTCAAACATCTATCGCCTCTTTGTGTTGAAAACATTCAAAATCCTCTCAATAGCTACTTGAAGTTATACAGTAATTTGTTGTTCACTGTAGTCCTTCTACATTGCTATAGAACACTAGATGTCATTCTTCCTCTCTCTACAATTTTGTATACATTGACCACCCCCTCCAGTCTCTAGAAACCACTATTCTATTCTCTACTTTTAAGACATCAACTTTTTCAGCTTCCACATATGAGTGAGACCATACAGTATTTTTTTTTTCTGTGCCTGGCTTTCTTTGCTTAACATAACTTTCTCCAAATTCATCCATTTTGTTGTGAATGGCAGAATTTCACTCTCTTTTATGGCTAAGTAATATTCCATTATGTATACATACCACATTTTCTTTATCCAATCATCTGTTGATGGACATATAGGTTGGTTCCATATCTTGGCTATTGTGAATACAGCTGCGATAACATGGAAGTGCAGGTATCCCTTGGACATGTTGACTTCCTTTCCTTAGAATATACCCAGCAGTGGGATTGCTGGATAGTATGGTAGTTCTGTGTGTTGTTCTTTGATAAACCTTCACACTGTTGTCCAAAATGGCTATACTAATTTACATTCCCACCAACAATGTATAAGAGTTCCCCTTTCTCTATATCCTTGCCAATATTTGTTATTTTCAGTCTATTTGATAAGAGCCATTCTAACTGGGGTAACTGAATGATACCTGATTGTGGTTTTGATTTGCATTTCCCTGATGATTAGTGATGTTGAGCATCTTTCTATGTACCTGTTGGCCATTTGTATGTCTTTGAGAAATGTCTACTCAGCTCGTTTGCCCATTTTTTAATCAGATTACTTATTTTTTATTATTGAGTTTAAAGTTCCTTATGTATTCTGGATATTAATCCCTTCTTGGGTGCATAGTTTGCAAATATTTTCTTCCATCTGGTTTTTATTTTTAAATAATACTTATCACAACACAGTATAATTGCATTATAAAACAAAAGAATGTTGAAACGTGTTTCAATCCTTTATGGTATGACTTTATCCATTTGCTTTTTATCTGAGAATAAATTTCTCTCCTGTAGTGCTTCCTGCTCACTAGCCAATAAAATTACTAAAATTTTATTCAGATGGCAATTAACTGCTATTTCCCCTTTACTGTTTTAATTCCATTTTAAACCATTTCTCTTATCTAAATCTCATTAAATTTGTTTTAAAAGCTCACACAGATATATAACATCAAAAATTATTTTGAGAAAAAATAACCCTTTTATCAACACTATGAGAATCATTTCTACTGTACGTTTCAGTTCAAGAATAAAAATAAATGACAAATTGTCCCCACAAAGTCATGCTGTTTTTAATTATTTGTTAAGATAAGTATTGCACACCTCTGCTTCCATGTGATAAGCATTTTCTACTCTTCTAAAATCCTTTGTCACAGTTACATTTTCTGCCTGAAACAGAAAGTACAAGAATATTGTTACTAAATGTTTGGCTACGAAATGCAATTACTCTAAAACATAAATTAGAAACCCAAACTTATTAACATCAAGAAGATATAAAGTATGCAAAACAAAACTGCTTTACCTCATGTTTTAAAACTTTCCTAAAGATATCATAAAATTAGTTCAGAAACCTATAAAGATTTGCTTAAAATTTCATCATAATTGTCACTCCATTTATAAATTTTTACATTAGCTTGTAAAGGAAGTATGAACTTAGGGTGGTATATATATGAGGAATTGTTTGTACATAAAGCATACTTAATCTTACAAGAGTGCTGGAGTTTATAAAATGTTCAGTTTACAAATAGTTTAATACAAATTACTGAATATCTATCATGTGCACCTTTGGTCAAGTTATACACTTTTTGAGCCTTAGTTTACACATTGATAAAATCAGGTTAATAAAATGTACACCATACAGAATTATTTTGAGGATTTAATGAGAAGTTGTATATAAAGTACAGTATTTGGCATAGAGAAAGCACTCAGCAAAAGTAGTTGCTAAGCTACTAGGACATAAATATTTCTTGAAACACTGGACCTGGGCTAGTTTGCTTTTAGAAAAGTAGTATTAATATTTTTTTGATTCTCTGGGTAAATATAGGGTACATTATTCTGATGAAAAAGTTATATTTATTTACTTTTCAAAAGAGATTTTAAATTCAGTGCAATGAACTCTTCAGCTACTTGGATCCTTGGGGACAAGCAAAACTTATATTTTATACATTTTTAAAAGTCTTTCAGAACACATAATAAATATATAATGATTATTATGCCAAATAATGATTTAATTATAAGTTATTTTGTAGGGGGATATAGCTACATCTAAATTTTAAGATATTAACTAATCACAAAGCAATTTATGCTATCCAGAAAAACTCTAAAAAGCTTTAACCTGAGTATTTGAACTCAAGTTCCAATTACAGCTCTCATGTCACTCCCATGAAAATATTAGCGCAATTTTTTTATTATAAAAGTAATACGTGCTCATTGTAGAAAATTTAGAATACAGACAAGTATAAAACAGTATTGTATGTAATGCTTATAATCAGCTTTTTTCAACTGATTAACATGAAACCTTTATGTCATTTAATATTCTTTTATGACATATAAACATATCTTTCTTGAATTTTTGGAAGTCTTTTTTTTTTCTTTTTTCATTTTTTCTTCCACTTCACTTGATAAACACATATAAAACTTCTGATTAAAAAATTATTGGAGAAATAATTCCAGGAAAGGTAGCTGTAAAGAAAAGTATCTTTTTATTGTTATTTTTGTTTGTAATAGTGTTATTTTTAAAAATATAAATGATACACACTAATTAAATTTAATACTAGGGAAAAGAACAAAAAAGAAAGTAATAATGTCCCCAAACCCTTTTACTGTTAACATTTCAGTAAACCATCTATTAATGCATATAAACATGTCTAGATCTATGTATAGACTTTTTCACAAATAAAAGTATATTCTACATGCTGTTCTGAACTTTTTAAATAAACTTTTTATTTTGGAATAATTTTAAATTTAAACAAAATTTGCTGATAGTACAGAATTCCCATATATCTCAGTTTCAGATTTCTCTGATGTTATCACCTTACATTACTACAGTACATTTGTCAAAACTTAAAAAGCCAACACTGGTACATTATAATTAACTAAATTCCAAACTTTATTTGGATTTTACCAGTTTTTCCATTAATGTCCTTTTTATTACTCCAGGACTGAATCTATGATACATCATTGCACTAATTCATTAAGTCTCCTTAGTCTCTTCTGATCTGTGACAGTCTATCAGTGTTCCTTTGATTTTCATGATCTTGAAAGTTTGGGTCATATTTTGCAGAAGGTCCCTCAATTTGGGTTTGTTTGATGTTTTTTCATGATTAGACTGGGGTTTTAAGTTTTAGAAAAGAATACTACAGAGGTGAAGTGCCTTTCTCATCACAACATATCAGGGCATATGTGATATCACATGACACTACTAATGATGTTAACCTTGATCACTTGGTTAAGTAGTGTTTGCCCAAGTTACTATTTTTCCCTTTCCATACTTTATTGTAGGCATGTCACTAAGTACAACCCACACTCACTCAATAAATACTATATTTTGTTGCTCAAACTGTTCTAGCTTTGGCCGTTGGGATTTATTTCAGGTTGGCTTCTATATCCTTTTGACATACCCCTTCCTTCATTTTTTGAGAACTTCCTTACCTTCTAGGACAAGATGCTACAGACTTATTCCATTTCCCTGCCCTAGCCCTAGAACAGTCATTTCTCCAAGAAGCATAGTACCTTTTCTTTGAGACTGGTATTTAGAACCAACATCTGGATGCTGAGGATGCTCACTGCTACTGGGGTGTCGTTCTTTCTAGCCTTCTCAGTGGACAGAGCTAGATAATATATGTATGTGTACTGAATCACATACATACATATCTACAATTGTTTCTGTATCTTTCCATCTGTATATATATGAAGCTAAACATGAGTTTACAAATGATGTTTCCAACTGTAATTCAGATTCATAGAGTTCATTCTAACTTTCCCATCTTATCTGTAACTTGCCTCTCCAAGTAAGAAACTTGGCTCCCACCATCCACCAACTTGTATTTTTTCAGCTCCAGTATACATGTAAAGCAGTTTCAGAAATGTTAACTAGTTCATCCTTGGAAAACAAATTTGTCAACTAGAGTATAACTTTTAGGTACCTTCCTTCTTCACCCTTACATTTTCCAGTCAAAACACCATTTTCCAAAGTTACTTAGAACACTCCATTTTCACCTTCAGTGCAGTAATAGTCACATAGTTGATAAATATATAAATAGTCGCATATTGATGCATTTGGAAGTTCCAAATAATATTATAGGGAATGTCAGGGAAGTGAAAATTGCCTTTTGGCAATCAGATTGAGAAAGTCTAAGCAGAAAATAATGTTTCCAAGAGGACACATACGGAACCTAAGCAAAGTTTCTAAGAGAAACTAATCAAACTGCAACCACAAAAATGATTAGCATTCTTTTTCTTCTTGATTGCTATGCCCAACTTTAATTCTCTGGGTTTTCTATGAAAAAAATGAATAAAATAGCCAATCACCAAAGTGCTTCTGCTTTACTAATTTTTCCTTGGAATGACTCAACACAAGCCCAAAACCCCTAAGTGACTCCTCCCTACTCCCTGTTTCTGAAACATTCCTAAGGTCCATTCGGATGCATTCTTTTTGCATTTTGCTAAATAAACCTAACTTTGTTTCACTATAAATATATTCCTGGTATTCTGGCTGGTGGGCTCCCACATAGAGTGTGAGATTTTTTTGTTTATCAATAGGGCAATGGTTCTCAACAGGATAGTGATTTTGCCTCTTAAGGGACATTTGCCAATGTCTGGAGACATTTTTGATTATCACAATCAGGGAAGGGGCGTATACTGCTGTCATGTAGTAAGTAGACAGGGTGATCAAGTGTCCCTGTTAACCCTGGAAAGGTTCCTGAGACACAGGCCTGGCGGTTTTAAAACTTGAATAGGGGCTGGCCACTTAGCTCAGTTGGTTAGAGTGTGGTGTTAGAACACCAAGGTCAAGGGAGTTCGGATCTCTATACCAGCCAGCTACCAAAAAAAAAAAAAAAAAAAGCATTAAAACTCAAATAGTTTCAGGTAAAAAGCATTAAAACTCAAATAGTTTCAGGTAAAA